AACTCAAGTCAAATGAGGTCAAATTGAGCTAGGAGCCCCATTATATGACTACTAAAGTCAAATCATAAAAAGTAGTCGTCATCTTTATTAAATTTAAAACTGAATACTTTAAATTAAGCTAGTACTGATGTATTCATTATTGAAATGTGAGAGCATCTTAAAGTATACAACAAGATCTGTAAAGACGTTAACAGATGGAAGATAAATGGAAAAGTTAAGAGGGGAAATATATAACGAATAAAGTAAAAAATGTAAAAGAAATATCTCTTTGTCTACCTAGGTAATGAAAGCTTGGGCGTAGTTATAGGGCCGTTGTTATCTTCGTCTTTGAAAAAATAAAAAGCAAAAGAAGTACACCGACTTTTCCTTTTTCTAACGTTTTTGTTCCGTCCCAACCCGCGCTAATTATCATCAGCTCACCATTTGACCACCCCACCCCCTTTCGCAAAACCTCTTTCGCTTCCGTCGCCCGCATATTTTCTATAGAGTTTCTGAATTAATTGGTTCCAAGTTTTCCGAAAGTAATTAAACTAGAGGTGGACTAGTCTGAATTGTGATCGGGGGTCGTCACTGCCATAGTCACCGGAGTTTTGAGCGCGTCCCGGATTCCGGAGGATCGATTTGCGGTGTTGGTGTTTCTCAAGCAACTTTTAGAGGAAATAACACTCGCATACCGCCTCAACGTGCTGTAATTTATTTTCCAACAATTAATTACCGAAGGGTTAAAAAGATTCTCAAGTTTTCTTCGCCGTCGATACACAAAAGACTCATTGGCGGGGAATTGTTTGCGCGAGACGAGCTTATAATGCAGTTTGAGTTATTACCGGAGCACATTATCGAAAACGCTGTTTTTCGAGGTTTTGGGACGAGGGCCTCACCTCCGCGTAAATCATTCCAAGGAGCGAGGGAGTCGAGAGATCGGGCAACAAACAGACGGGCGCTCCCTAAAAATGTTACTCGCGGCAGACTCAAATAATCTCCACCGTATAAGCAAACGAAAGACTCCTAATAAACTCATTAAACTAATTCGTTGACTTTAAGATTCCAGTGGTTAAGGTATGTTGAGCGGTTTCACGCGGACGTAATCGAAAGGTCCGATAAGAAATTTTCCGCAAAAGGAGTGTTGTTTTCCTCGCCGGCGAAAGATTTTGTAACATTTTTGCCGCGCACACTTTCCATCACTCCGCGCGGCGTCATTAGCAATAAAATTCCTTGTCCATTACATAAATTTGATGGTTTTATCGGTTATAAAAGTTGAAGTTTTTATTGCTTACATGCGACACATCGCTCATAACTTCCCGTAACAACATGCACGTTTCGCCCAAAACACGTCCAGAGGAGGCTCCGCACTCGAATCGATAATAATTAGATAGAGCGGTAACGAAGCTTCATCTAAATATAAAATCCCCTTCCACGCCAATAACTTTTGATATTTCCTCTTTCTGTTGAAAATTCTACGGCTCCCCTGGCCGGACATAACGAAAGTTTACGAGCTCCGGATTAGGTCCCCCGTTATTGAACTCCGCAACACCGAACCCGTGTTAGGAATCTTTTCAATCGCTGTCCAGAAGAAGTGGAATCCGTCTGGTGGAGCGCGCAATTATTCAATCAAGACGCTTCGGCAGCGAGCAGGCAAATCTCCGTTTTAATTATCAGTCCCTAATTGGATTTCTATGGAGAACATTGTTACTTTGACAGCTTATGCATCAAATTTGATATTAGCCCGGTGTTGACGAAGACGTATAATATCGGCTGGGAGATTGCTCGCGGCAACTGGGGCCTCGCCGATACGCTGCAGAACGGGAACTCCCCGTACCCGGGACACGGAGTTAATGCGGATTCCTGATTCTGATGCAATTCGGAATTGGTCCTCGTGCGACAGCGTAATTGACGATCGCATCGTGACGAAACGGTAGCGAGATGCCACTTTCTGGTAGAGCGCTAGTTTTTCTCTGACCCTAGCTGCGAATAAGTAAAACAAGACAATTTATATCCGTCTATAATATTATCGTCCGATTTTTCATCCCTAGAGGGAGCCCTCTAGCCGCCAGTTTATTAAGCCCCACGACGCGAAGTTTGCTTTATTAAAGACGCTGCCTCGAGAACAGCGTCTAGCTCGCGGCTCCATGAAACTTTAAATCGACCAAGGTGCGACCAACTCGTGTCCAGAATCCCATTACTTTTGTCAGTTGACGCATGTCCGAACGAATCCTTGAATATGAAATTACGTTCAGGTGGTGAGTGTCTCCTCGTTATCATAGCAGGGAGACAATTTCTCGGACGTCGGGTCCACTCAAGACCGTCATGAATATAGCCTTAATCCCAGCACGGCTGACCGGCTAAGGGCAGACTTGCCAGACAAATTGAATTTTCTGATTTCTGGCCGGAGGCACGCCATCTGCCTCGGTCATACCCGCTCCTATTTTCTTTCGAGTAATGTATATTGAATTCTGCTACCCTCTTATTAACCGAATAGTTTCCTGACGCTCTCCCCTTGCTAATAACACAATTACGGGAGAAGCTCCTTCGGGGCGCGACGCAAAAGCTCCAAGACACTGCGGCCGACTCTAAATAAGTATTATAGATGTACGGGACCGCTTTGCGGAGCTTTTTCCACCGAGTTATGCAACCAACGCTACACATTCGCGAAAGCTTGTTGTAACACAGCGTTTGCGCTGTTCTCTAGTCGGAATTGCTTTCTTATATTTGCCGCGATATTTCTTGAACTGAGGACCATCCCACCGACTGCGCCACGAATTTTTGACACCCGAAGCTACCGCGTGGTCGATTCCCCGAATCGCACTCCGCTTGTTTTCTCTCCATAAATCGAGGTCGTAAAAATGGCCCCGATTAATTAGCGAAGTGTATTCCCGGCGTGCTGCGATCGCAATTAATCTAAAAAATTCGTTACGCCCGCGATCATCTGTCCGTGTGAAATGGACTGATTGTCGCAATGCCATCAGGAAAGTGGGCCACTTTCGCAACCCTACGCTGCCCTAACGATGTAAATGTGCTTGGGTGTCCATTAAGGGAAGTCCGGGGGAAGCCGCCGCCGCCGCCGCCGCCACGCTCCCGACATGATTCGCAGCGACGGCCAACATAATGTATCCTGAGGCACAACACCCCCAGTGTCCTCTGGCATTTGGATATTGATTTTCTGCTTCATCGGCTTGTTTGATAGGCAGGGACGCCGACTCGACCCGCTGCTGTTCTTGATGGATTATGTTGTTTTAAAGTACGGCGTTCATCAGCTCCATCATGTACCTTCGAATGTTCGAGGGTAAACAATAATCGGGTCGACAAGAGCGCCGACACGAGTCGTCCAAGTACAACTCGAAATTTGGATACGGACAGCATTCTGTTCGCGTTAGTCGAAGAAGTTCGCCGCGGGCCATGATTTAATCGTCCGTATCGGTTTATTTTCCACCGAAGAGCTCCTCGTGGGCGTATTCTTGACAGGACCGGGTCCTCGGGACTTCTGGCCTAGCCGACGGACGACCCCTCCTCTCGTTAGACCGGCTTTTATGCGGATATCGCGTTCGACGTTCGATGGAGTCGCGAGATGGATGGCCGCTACACTGCTCTCGACACAACTTTCATTACACTTGTCTTGTTTTTATAGTTGAGGCACGAGTTTGAGGTAAATGGCTAGAATCCGTCTTGTGTCAGCATTTGAATCCGCGCACGTGCGACGCGACGCGAGAGGATGGAATGGGACGGGATGGGATGGATGGCGCGACATGAATATCCATGACTGCATGATGGATCGCGTCGGTTATTAATGGTTCGGCGCTGCCATTACGAGCTCTTTCCCCGAAAAGCGACCATCATACCCACCAGACATCACATGCAATTTTCTTCTTATATCTCTTGTTTCTCGCATTTACCTAGACGAGGCGCGTACCGTAACATTTATCAACGCAGGTGCCGCCGCTGTCTCGAAGTTATGAACGGCAGATATTACGAAAGTTTATTTCGGGAGTAGTCGGCGATTGAGTAATGGTGGTGTGCATCCAGACGACTTTTGACGTGGTAACTAATGGTGCGTTGTATTGTGTTTTTAAGAGTGGGAAAAATGGGGGCACGCAAGAACGACAGGGGACCGGCCGCAGCCGATAATGAAATTTCTGCGCTTATTAGCAATAATAGTGGCATTTAGACGGACGAAGCGAATGCTAACTGCTGCAGCTGAGTTGTCGGAGCGGAAGCCGAACTTTCGTAATTTAATAATATCGTTCATTAGTCGAGTCCTGACAGACGAAGAACCAGGTAGGGACCGTCAAAGTGTTTTGATGAAGTTCGAGCTATTGTTATTACTAGACCGTTTGTCGTGTGCGTAACGTACGGCGCAGTCGGTAGGATGTTTTAAATCTTCTAACATATATATTCCAGCGTCGCCGTTTCGAGCGCTCTTGTTACCAGCCGAAGTTAAAGTGTCTAATAATAATTGGGAATCATCTTACTTCGCGAAGTGGAAATATAATACCCCAACTTACAACTTCCGCAAGTTTCCAGACGTTCCCGTCGCAAATTAACTTTTACAAGTAATAATACCTGAGAATGGACGCAACTGATTCTTAAACTCGAGTTTTAAGCCAGTAATAATGCTTCGTTTTGTGATTTTTGCGAAAAAATTCGAGCGGAAACTTTCCCCGAAAACGTCGATAATTTTATTTGTCGTCGGGCGAACGGCACGCATCGCCTCTAAGGCAGTCTCCGGAGGAGCTGACGCGAATTCATCAATCAGATTTGATTCGGGACCCGGATCCTCTAACAGGATTTGGGACTTATGAATACTGACCAAACTGACCACCTTTCACGCAACTAAAATCGATAGGTCCCCAATAAAAGTTGCGGAAGCCGCAAAAGGAATTTTTCCCACGATCCTGATACACTCAGATATTCGTTTGGAAGGGGAACACACCCTTACTAACTAAGTAATTTTAAGTGATAAGACCGTTCGATTCGATTAGAGTTTTTGATTTTTGTCTTTGTTGCAGGCGAGAAGCCCTACAAGTGCTCGTGGGAAGGGTGCGAGTGGCGGTTCGCCCGATCGGACGAACTCACCCGCCACTACCGCAAGCACACGGGAGCGAAACCGTTCAAGTGCCGCCACTGCGACCGATGCTTTAGTCGTTCGGACCACTTGGCCCTGCACATGAAGCGCCACGCTTAGACGGCCTACCTCTCCGCCGCATCACTGCCAGTTACCGCTAGTGTACATACTATAATTTAGATAGGTGGTGTGGATGGACTCTTGGAGCAGCACACACACACACAGTAGTAGCGAGGGAATCCTCAGTGATGTTCATTCCTGTGATCGACTTCGTCGGCTAGGGCCGAACACACACCTACAGAACATTTATAACTGTAGCTGTAACGAGAGGGCTGCAGGAGCGACGCCGACGCCGTCCAACGGACGCTAAAATGTACATTGTATAGTTTCGCCCTTTCCTTCCCAAAACGATAAGATCAAAATTTTTTATGTAGGTAGTCGATGGGTGGATGTCGTGTAAAGGGCGGGGCGTGGCGTTTCGACGTCTTCGAAACGCCGCGTGCCGCCCCCGTCGGCGGCGGTCCGAAGCTCCCAAAGTTAGTCATGTTAGATTTAGTTAGTTTGTACGAATGTGTCAAAGTATTAACTGAAGACTGTGCAGGCGCACACCGCCGGATATTAGGCTAAATGTCACTATTTGTAATAATAAATGAAAAAAAATCAAAAAAGTAATGTAGCGCGAACAAACAAAAGTTTTTTGAAAAAAAACTACTGATATGAAAAGTATTATAATAGGTAATTATATTTTTTGAGAAAGTGACCTTGGATGAAAATCTACTTTTTTCAAAAATGCAACGATAAGCCGTGTACAGCAGTGTGATGTACAATGTGCATTTGAGCGGCGTCGCGGCGGCGTTCCCGGCGTCGCGACGCCGCACCCTCCGACGCATTCCTTCTCGATGCATTCTATATTTCTACTTCCCTGACTTAGGCATAGTGTGACTGTTGTGCGAAGAGACCGTGTATAGATTTTTAGTGTTATAGCATTTTGTACAGCTGCATGCTTTGTTAATTAGTTCGGTACATTTTACTAATACGTGTGCGAGCAGTGCGGCTTTGTGCGAATGGTGTGCGATCGTTCGTTGTTCTTCCGGGCACTTTTTAGCGTAGACGTCAGAGTAATATATTGGTTAGTTTATAACACGATTTTTTACCTGCTGGACGCGAATGATGTTGATGTTGTTTCCATTCTTGTTCCCCGTGCATTTTCGTCGCCGGTTTTCTTTCGCTTCTGTCCCCGTAAACCTGCAAGAGGGGCTTCCTGGCCGCCCGCAGGCCGAGAAAAAGAGGCTCTCGAACCACCACCACCACCACCAACAGGATCGCAAACATTCTTCCGACTGCGCCACGCGGTAGGATGCCTCTTTTTCGCGGCCTTCGCCCTCCGTCGAGCCGCCGGCCCCAGCTTCCACGACTCCTGCGTCTTCGCGAACTGGAGGAATTGATTTTGTACGATTTTCTAACACACGGTTAGCGCGGTTCGACGCGGGTTGCTGTTTCTTAGAGAGGTGACAAGTCCCCTTCCCGCCTAAATGTGACATTCTTTCATGTTCATGTCGTCTCCCGGAGGCGTTGTAAATCACTAGAAGGAGACGAGCGATAGGTCCAAACCGTCGTCGGTGTCTCCGATTTCCCGCCAGGTCGAAGCCAGTTATCGTCGTAATTAGGTAATTAAATAAATCAGGTTGTTTGTTGTGTTTGTTGTAATTTCGGAGGGTCGCGTCGCGTCGGGTTGTTAAATAATATTTGCCGCTTGATATGGGTAGAGGGTTGTTTGGGTTTGGTGCGTTCGTTCGTTCGTTCGTTCGTTAGTTCGTTAGTTCGTTCGGAGACGACGTTGGCTTCGTGAGGCACCGACCGCCTGCGATTAGCTGGCTGTTCAAAACGTTTTCGGTTCAAGATGTTCTAGTGATTTAGGATGGACTCTGTGTTGTCTTTTAGTTCGTACGCTCGCCGGCTTTGCTGTTGCGGGCCGGATAGTTTTTAAGATAGGAAATACTATGTGAATATAAACGAAATATTTTGCCAATGGAAGTTGATCTTCTCTTAGGATTTGGAAATAATGTTTCTATACCAGTAATTGAAATGTATTTGTAAATGTATTTTAACTATAATTGAATTTTAGATGACCCAATTTGTAAATAACTACATGGTATGCGAATAAATTTTCCGATCTATTTAAATTTAAATTTTGTAATATTTCCATTTTGTATTTCTTGATGATGGTGATAAATTTTTGTGGTCTGTAAATATTTATTTGAGAAAATATTAAATCTATATGTAATTATTATTCTATATGTAATTCGGAGCTCGTGCCATTTTCGGTTAACTACCAAAGAACGACGAAGATGACACGAACATAAAGCACAAATTATATTTAATATATTTCTGTTTTTTGTCAAAGTTAATTCTACATATTCGTCAACCAAACAAACAGTCGGCGAGATTTCGTACGCTAGCTTGTAATTCCGCTCAGTGCAAATAAACGTACGTTCCTGTTAAAATTAACATGGCTTTTATTTCACCAACCACCACCAAACTACGACGGTGAACAACAGAAGCAAAACCCTTCAGAACTTAACATCCTAGCAGTACGTTGCATACAGTCAGCACTAGTACTACTGCATTGTATACGTTATTCAAAAGAAGCTGTGACTTGCTACGGTCACGGCTGTATCTAAAGTGACGTCTTTGAGCAGTTCTACGATCCTCTTTTGTTAGCTGTTTACGTATTTTTTAATCTCCGATTTTACTGACTTAAGCACCCCTCGATCCATACCACGGCAGGAATAAAATCGAATCTCTCGCCGCTGCCGCTCGTCCAAATTACAATTCTTGTAACCATCGAATAACATAATTAAGCTTGTCGGTTGCTTGTTTTGACTGATCGACGTCAACAAGTGCTGGAAAACTTTCGCATCGAAAAATTAGATTACTTTTTAATCATGCAATTTAGTATGCGACTGGGCAGCGTAATAAATCTGTTGTCGGTACTCTTTTTGAAGTTTCTTCCCCTTTCATTTATTTTGATTTCGCGTGAGATACCATAACTGGTAACATAAATTAACGTAAACACTTACAAAAGCTGACAAAGTGTACTTGATTATCGATCGCGAGCAACGAAACCCCTTCGAGCATTCAGAAAGCCGTTCGTCTGTCAGAAGTGCAAGAAAATTTTGAAGTTCCCCACGAAACCAATCTCGACTTCCCTCGACAAATCCGATCGTCATCAGGCCTTCCTGTTGTTCTCCGCGTAAGTGAGATTAGTGCGAGACATCAGCGGGAGCGCAAAATGAAAGCAGGTGCAAACCGTTTTGCTTCTTGAATATTCATGCGGTGACTTATTGGCTGAGACAATAGAAGCGGCATTAACACCTACGACTGCGATACCGAAGGACGCATATTGAGTGGTGGAGTTCGCAAGGCAATATGTCTACGACAATGCCTTCAAAACAGCGTTGACGCTGAACAGCCGCTGCCGCCAACGCCGCCGCCGCCGCTCTTGAGCCGACGACATCCAGATGGCGAAATTTTAACTCCGTAATCGAATTATATTTAAATCTAATTTAGCTTTGTGCGCTTCCATAAGCAAAATTTTATTATTTCGGTAATGTTGAGGAGATGTAAGTAAGAACTGTAATGGCGCCATCGCGGTAATTTTATAAAAGGGGAATGCAATTAGGTGCGGGCTTGGGTTACTGCTGTTTGCCGGAGTGGGGCGAGGCTTGAGCCTGCGAAAATAGACAAGTCGAAGAAAAAAGTCACCGATGGCAATTGTGTTTCGAAAGTAAATCGCTCGTAATCCACAGCGCTACACATCCCGTTCTCGACAGACTATTTATTAATCATTCTAATTTTCCAAAAACAACTATTAAAATGCCTTACAATACACGTTCGCAGAAAATTAACAGGGACATAACTTCGTCCATAACTGAAATTGAAGAACCAGTGACTATTGTTAGCAAAAATTGATGATCTAAAAGCTAAATTAAGCCCGGAGGAAAATGTTGCCGCCATATGAAAAAAAACTAACGGGTATGAATCCTCAGAAGAAAAGGAACAGGAATTGTTAGATACTTCCTCAGAAACAGTCATTGACAACAATACTGAAAAGGAAGCAGATAATGATAACAAAAACCGATAATAAAACTAAATTAAAGAAAAAGTGGAATCTCGCTTACAAGCAACAACTAAGCAAAGTAATTCATCGGATCGAGGTGTTGATCTGGACTCCAATACATAAAATGTGCACTTAGACTGATGGTTTTTAAATGTTGTATAGACTTTATGTGTACCTATACATATTATCGTTTGCTATTGTTTGTTAAATATTAAGTTACATATGTGTATTCATTGTACTTACGTTTGTCACATGTTCGATATGTATATATGTTTCTTTTTTTCTTGACAATTCTCATGCATTGTATCTATTCTATTGTTCAGAGAAATAAATTAATTATTACTAAGTATTAAGAAAACAAAAGTTGAGTACGCCTCTCGTGAACGCTCGCCTCGGCCCCGTCTAATTACGAAACGATCCTTGTGATACATTTACATTTATTAAACTTCCCGAGATGCAGCCCTAAATAGTGCAACTAACTGCCAAAGCAAGCGGTATTAAATTCTCTTTAGCAATCTTAAATTATTCGCAGCGGCGGAGCATTCAGCCGCTTTTATTAAAGCCGTTATTGTATTGTTATTAATTCTCGTGATTGATTAAATCCGCAATTAAAGTTGCTGCTGTTGCAAGCGCCGCGCTGTTGACAAAGGTCGGAACACGACGAAAACCGGGAATTTATTCTCTTGTTTTTTGGTGTTTGCCCCAAGTATATCTTTTAATTCTTTAAGTGTGGGCAGTGCAGGGAGGATTTATGTGATCTTTACTGGGGAGCTCTGCTTGATTGGTATTGGCACTGCCGATATCTCAATGTTCGCTTGGCCGAGCAAATAGGTCAAAGAAGACTACTAGATTCGCCTTTTAACGGCTTCGTGGAATAAGATGAGGCTTGGAGAGCGAGTACACGGAAAGGACCGGACCTGAGGGGTCGGCGCGTTCTTTCGGAGAGGGAAAAGGGTGGGTCCTCCAGAGACGGACGAACGAATTATCAAAAGCGATCATTTTGTTCTGGAATGAGTTAGTTAGTCAGTAGGCCAACTCCTCCAGGATTGCCCGACAAGTCCCACTTTTAGGTTAGCATCCCTCGTCCCTGCGCTGCGTCCCCATCCACTCCCATAAAATTAAAAATGCAACGAATGTTGAAACTTGTGCAACTTAGCCATAATTTATTATCTCTAGTCGCCCTATTGTATAAAAATTTACGAGCGAACTTGAGTAATTAAAAAGCAAAAACTTTATAACGGTTGCCGTTCAACTTTCGGCATTGATATAAAACTTCCATTCGAGCTAATGCCATTGCAGAAACAATAGTTAAATTATTCAAGAGTCAACTATTTAGAAAAGCTAATGAAGCACGACAACTTCCACATAAGCGAAAGAGTAAACAGTCTTTCGGGTATTTTAAGGGCGACTTTAATTTATAGCATAACTTATCTGCAGATTAAACTTTAACTACATGACTGCTTATAATTAACTAAGTGGTTTCAGTCAACATCCCCGAAGCCACCCCGAATCCCATACGCGCCGCTAATTTATATGTGTATATTGCATGATATTCTGTTGATTACTCCTTGAAAAGTGGGCCTCGAGCTCGCGCTGCAGTTTCTCGAGATAACAACGCTCGTAATTGTGTTTAATTCTAGCGAAAAAAGCGCAAAAGGTCCGGATTTCTGATTGGGTTATCGCGTTTGCACGAAGTTGCGAGAAGGCGTGTGTGAATAACACAAAACAGGGATGGAGAGAATAGTGCGTGCCTCGCATCTGTAACTAATTAGTCATAGTATCTAATTCGCTAATTGGGAACAAGACCCGACTATCTAATATTGAGGAATGATGCTTTGCACCTGTGGGTTACCACCTGCGATATCAACAAACGGGGTAATCTTTGACGCCTCGGATACGTCAATTACAAGTACAAGATACAAAACGTACAGAACCTATTTCTTATTCAACGTGGTTTTAAGTACGAATAATCTTTTAGAATTATCTCAGGTTGGCCATGTTCGACGAGAATATGAACCGAAATTAAATATAACACCCACCAGTAATAACAGAGATTCTCCTATTAAACCAATAATTGCTGTGAAACCGTACAAGGCAAAAAGTTTCACTTATGTCACTTTTACCGCAAAAACGAAAGTCGACAACTGCTGAATGTGACCAGGGCTGCTAGGAGATGTCAAAAACACAACGTCGCCATTTTGTTATCACTAAAAGCGAAACTGAACGTTTGAAGATATTTTTACTTCTTGGGCCTAAGCTGAGGCGAATTCATGTGGCTAATTACTACTTTTAGGTTTTCTCGACGTTTCATGACCCCCAGAGTATGAAACAAGTGGTTTCCTGTTTTCGTCGGTTTGTCATCTGTTGTCTGCGTCAATTTTTATTAGCGACGGATAATCTCCGAAACTGCTGGACCGATTGTTGGCAAACTTTATATGTGTTATACTTGAAACATACACATAGCATGCTTCTTTACTTTTACTTTAAGACTACATATACATAACTTTATTTTAACTTTAGAAATTATCATAAAAAAATAAAATTAGCAAAATTGGATTTATTGTACTGTACCTACAATATGAAACAGCAAAAATATCAAGGGTGGAGGCACCTTAAAAATGTGTTACAAAATTCTATCAAAATAAATGGAAAACTTTATTATGAGAGTTAAGTTTGTGCTAAATTAAATAGACTACATTCGGAAAGAAACCTAGCAGTAGACGTCTGATTATACCACTTGTAAGATTGATAGTAGACTTAAAAAAAATGTTTGCAGCTGTTAACTAATTAAAGTGTAATTGTATTCTACTTTCGGGGATCATTTCGAGTTTTATATTTTACGTTGAGACAACTGAACGTCGGAAGTTTATTTTCTGGTTACATTCTCAAATTTGGAAAGGTCGTCGTTTATTTTATCGAAACGACAAACAGACGAATCAACAAACAGAATAAAAGGTAAACAAATACAAACATTTATCTCCCCGGGAACACGTAACATCATAAACAAATATATAACTAATTAATATTAATTAATATTCAAATCGTCAAATAATTGCGATATCGGTTGTAACAATGTTAAGCAGGCAGTAAATTCTCTCTCTCTCTTTACCATACGCAATCAGCACTTATTGATTTAAATACCCATAGATGTGTAGGGTTTTTTACAATTTTGTTTTAAATTCCTGCCCTTATTATTTTTAAGGAAACACTTACTTATTTCAAATAACGAAAAGCCTAGTTTCACGTTCTCCTGCCCTGTTACATGTTGTAAAATACAAATATACAGGTTTCCCGTTTGCGTCAGTATTCGAATGAGCTCCAAACCATCAGACCTATTACTTATAAAAAAGTTATTGTTAACTTAAAAAAACTTATTCAAATGTAAAAT